TTCGGCAGTCGAGTTTCCGAATACTTTGGATGCTCAAAGGTGGATTGCGCGCCAGTCGCCGTGAAAGATTGAAGTACCGCGACTTTTATCGTTACCTCAGAAGCACCGCTGCGGAGTTGAATGAACCTCGAAGCTCATACGATAAGTTTCGCTACTCATTATTTATAGAATACATTATTTATCGCTGCTTACAGAATACACCTGTAAACGCAGATCTTTTCTATTCAACACGATTCGACAAGGCTGCGGATGATACCTTATACACGGATTCTATTATCAGTTTGAAGTAAATTCTTCCTGAATGACTGCGCCGAGGTCTCGGCAGGTTTCCGGTCGTAATCGCTTGAAAATCTAAGGGGTCTTCGGAAATTAAGCCTGGAATTAAGACTATCGGCTCTTTTTATCGCCGTGGAAATAAATCTCCCGGCGCGCCTATTTGAGACCTATTACGTGGATTCTTTCCCGATGTCCTCGGAAATCCTTCCACGATGCTTGTGCACGCCTTCGAACCCGTGTAACCGGGCGTTCAATAATTTACTTTTACGAGACATTGAGCATAAAAGTACACAGAAGATAGTGTTTCTTCAAAATTGTCCCATCATTGTTTATTAGACTTTCTAAATGTCACGCCCCCCCCCCCTCTCTCTCTCTCTCTCTCGCCCCTCTTTTACAGTCGATCGCGGCGTTACGAAGCGGGAACTCGCAGTAGAATAAACGATAAATTTTTCCGGATAAAAAAGACGCGCGAGATCTCCCGACAGAGAGCCACCAGCATTCGCCTTCGACTATCGATGGACGCTCGTGGCAGGAAGGGACCGTTACTCTCAATGGACCAATGGCCTCTGTCTTTCTCGCCTTCCATTAAGCGCGCGAGTGCGCGGCGTCGTGTCCCATCCCGTTTCCCTATTCATAGAATAAATTCGATGAAACGCGAGGCGAAAATCTATCCGATTTCACGGCGTCGTTATTGGAAGAAATCCGACTCGACGATTGACCCCCTTCCCTCCCTTCGTGTTCACCCCGCGAGATATATCGAAGATATCGAAACGCGTCGCACGGAAATAGCCGGAGACTGTTCCTCCACACGTTGAATCGCACGACTTCATCGGGTTTCAGCGAAGTGCAAGTCGATATTTTTAAAGGGCGAGAAAAACCTCCTCATTCCGACGGTCGTGATCGGGTTACGACTTCTTAAACATGGAAATTAGTTTGAAGTAAAGTGGCAAAAGCGAAATCAAAGCGCGCCTTTCAGTTTCATCCTTTTGACTTGCTCGCAATCTGATGATTTGCATTTTAAAGGAAAATTCCTAATTTCTCCTTTTTTTCTAGATTTTTCTCGAGATCCTCGTTACCGATATTTCAATATGTAAGAGGTTCTGCATATTTCAAAATTTCATATATTTTCCGAAAGTTCAAAAAGATAGGCATTTAATAGAGTTTTCTAAAAACGGGAAATTGCAATTATACAGATACCCCCCCCCCTCTGGCTCTTGTTAAAAATTGAGTTAAGAATCTGAAAGAAAATTTAAATCAATGCAAAGTAAGGTACGGGGTCACCGACGAGAGAGAGAAGGACGCTTAATTAATTCCGGCGGTACGTTTCTCCGTGTCTTTCATCGAAAGTCGTTGGTGGTTGACGGCGCGCCGAGATAGAATGTATAATATGACGATAGAACGTGGCGTATCTTCGGCCCTTTATGCGAGTTTTGACCCTCGCCGCCAGCGCCAGCATCAAAGCATCTTTTCGCTCCGTGCCCACACTCGCCCTGCTCCCCTTGCGTCGGCTTGTTCAAATACTCCGGGCTAATTCCGTTTGCTTGTATATTAATAACCGCCCCGCTATCAACTGTAACGGCGCGTACTCACCGTGTTTGGGATATTAATGCCGACCGGAGAAGAGTGATTAGAACGACGTGGGAGTATCCACAAAGTGTAGCGCGGTCGCACGAGACCGCTCTTTTCTGCGACTAAAATATTAATGAGTTTAAGTAATAAATATAAATGAGGCTCTTGCCTCTCTGCTTAATTAAGAGTCATGAAATGTCCCAAGCGATAATCACTTTCTTTCAAAGTCAAGCCGTATTTAATTTAAAAAAATTGTATTGCAACCCCTCCTCCCGTGCTCGCCGTGCGCAAAAATCTCTTTCTGTTTATTATTATTATTAATACGGCGAGTTTCGGACAAACGATGCTCGGCTAATTGGGCACGGAGCTTCCCAGGCAAATTATTCACCCGCGGAGATAAATTTCCTGTCACGTATGATCGAAGCTAATGGCGTGCGTGAGAGGCGCGCTAATCCCCGTCCGAGAAAACTGATTAGGTCGTGATGCGAGGGCGCGAGTCGTGAAAACACTCTCAGTTTTATCGATCTCGCTTGCGAGCGGCGCGACTTCCTTTGGACAGGATTGTCCGGGGAAGCGGATCAGCCTGCCCTAAGAGGATTCCCCGTTACTTCGGCCTGCGTACTTTGACGCATTCTTCGGCGAGGAGAGCCACGTAAAACGTGAATTCCTCGACCCGAGGAATGAACGACGATCGTTTCTTCGTCATCTACAAGCGTCGGGCGATGGACGAATCCTGTTGTCGGTCCACGAATCGATTCACCAAGTGCAAGTTCAAACAGTAGTTTCGTCGGAATTGATAAAAAAAACATAGTAAATAAGTAATATTTGCGATCACGATATTTGAAAAAATCGACTTGAAACTTCGGCTTTCTCGTATTCTCGATGTATATTTAACGTTAAACGCGGCGGCCGCTTGCGCTTGAAATTCATTTGCCCAAAATAGAGGAAAACCTTCTGTGTCAATAGACGACGAGGATTCTACAGGCACTAACACATAGCGCTAAACACGCGGCGAGAATACGGGCCTTCGGCTTCGGTAGGAACTTTAAAGACTCGTAGGTGTAACTAATATCGCGGCCGTTTTTACGAGGAGCACGTGCGCTCGAGAGTCCATATAAAAGAGAAAGAAAGAGAGGATGCGTATTTGGATATAGCACTTCCGACGGCTGAGATGGAACGAGAGGTGCAAAGTGAACTCGAGTGGTTCACGGAGAACGAGGCGTGCAGCGAGATCGCTCTTTTTTGGGTCATTCAAAAAAAAAGAAAGAAAAAGGAAAAAAAAGGAAAAAGATCGACTTCCGCGCACGGCTCACCGACACATCTATCCCTCTTTCGGTACGAAGGGAGGCGCATCGGGCATTTAGCACCAGAAAAATCAACAGCAGCCTCAAAGAACCTTTTCAAATAGAGCGTTACGCTGGCCGATTAGCGCTGCGATACTAACGATCGACACTTCGAGAGAAAGGAGAAGAAAAAGGAGAACGAAGTGCGCGTGCGGTTTCCACCATGCTCGATTATTTTAGGGTCGATGACAACGAGGAAAAATTTTTACTGATTGAAAAATAATATTTGTAGTGTGTACTATGTTTGTTCAACTTTATTGATATAAAATGCATTTTACTTCTTTGCTTATCTAAGCGGTTTCTTTTGTCGTTTTAATAATAAAATTTTACCTCGATCGTTATAGTTAAAATATTGAAAGATTTATAAAATTTTGTCTTTAAAACTTTGCTTTTTCCATTAATTCTTGAATTGTCCGATCGCACGGTGGATATCGGATATCCATTTGGATCCGTCGTAGAATTTTTCGAGATAGACAGGTGCGAGAGATAGGATAGTATATTTTGTGTCTCTCGGACTGTGTGTAAATAAAACAATCGCGATTGTGATATAAAAAGCGTACAGAGACGAGTCCGTGCAGATCCGTCGGACGAAGATTAAATAATGATATTCTAGCTGGATATAAGTTTTACTGGAATAAAATAACAATCAGTTTTAAATGAATAACGGTGAGGCAACATACGGCACGATAAAAGTATAATGAAAATAACGACGAGTTTCGAGGAACCCGAGTCGGAGAAATTGAAGCCGCCAGTTTATCGTCGCGATCGAGTCGCGAAGCGAGATATCCGGCCGACACCTACGTAGGGTCACAGAGGAGGATGTCACTCGTGCGCGAAACTGCAGTCTCCCGGTCCACCTACCATGTTTAAATAAACGCCGCGTGTACCTTTTTTCTTCCCCCATCCCCCTTTTCCGATCGCGGCACCTCTTGCCGAGCCGGCGCGGCCGTATCACTAATTTGTCCGTTCAAACAAAAAGCAATTTGTTACCCGGCCGGACTGACTCATGGACCGAGCGGTGTGTACGGTACGCTCGAGGAGCGGCGAAGGTGGGACGGCGAGAGCAGGCGGAGGCAGGAGGAGGCTGGAAGAGAGAATCGGGAGAAAGAGGAAGAAGAAGAGAAACGGAGAGAGAGGTAGAAGCTGATTTAAACCTGTCTGGCGGCCCGCTGCGCGCTTAACAACTGAAAAACAAACATGGCGCCGAGAGAGCGCATCGGCCAGCGGGAGCCCACGTATGTGCCGCGCGCGCACCGAGACTATAAAGTGCTTCTGGTACCCCCGGAACCCGGCCAGTCGAGTTCCAAAAGATTTCTTCGCCGCACGGCGGGAAAAAGAAGACGAAGAGGAGAAAATATCGGGAAGTCTTGGCATTTTTTCCATCTAGGCGTCCCTTTGTTATCGCCGGAGGGTGAGGGCTGGCTCGAGGGCAACCATCATACGCGAGATAGCATTAATTTGTGTTTGAGACATTTTTAATATTTCTCTCTTTGGTGTCTCGCGGAAAAGGATGCCGCGCGCGCGCGAGCGCGAGCGAGCGGAATTCCCGCGCCGACAGGAATTTCCTCGCGTTGCTGCCGGCACGTCGAATATTTCCGTGAAAATTCGCGATATTTAAGAAATTGTTTCATCCTCCGTCCTTACTTTCGGATCATTTTATTTTGTACTCGAAGATTTGAAAGAGCTGCCGTTTATATACGAATAAATAGTTTCTTGTGTCGGAAAGGAGCTCGGAGCTTATCGCTGAATGTAGAAAGAGTATGATGCTGTCGTCGCATTAGCATGCAGTGAAAAAAGTTTAGTGTTACTTACGCCAGGAGTGCTAGCTTGAGGCCCGAACGGGTATCTCGTCCAGTCGAGTTTCTCCTCCGTCGTCGTGTCCAAGAGAACAACTGCAATCAGAAAGAGAGAATGATTTGAGTACACGCGAGCAAACTTGGATCATATTTATCGCAACGATTAAATTTTCAACAAAAAACATAATTTTCCTACAGTCTGATCAAAAGTAATTTGATTTCCAAGAGAATTTCTTTTCATTTACATATTTGCCTTTTCTTATAACGTCGTCCTTTAAACTGCATTGTTTTATGCAATCGCAACACCTGTCAGATATAATTACACCATAATGTCGGTATAGCGCGGTACGCCATGAAATTGAAATTACCGGATTTATCTAACAGCTGATCTTACGAGAGACAGGAAGTACATATCGAAGCTATCGCTAGGAAGTCGACTTGTCGAAGTGAGATGGGAAAACGCTCCCTCTCAAAATGGCGGATCGTTGCGAGTACGTTGCGAGGGGTGAAAAAAATATCGGGAGGTGAATATAGCGGGGGAGGAGAGAGAGAGGGAGAGAGTGAGAAAGAGAGAGAGAGAGAGAGGGAAACACACGGAGGGTCGAAAAAAAGAAACGGGAAGATCGCGCTGTGTATCGGTGCATACGCGCAGGGATCAGGTTGCGTCCTGCATTGCGCTCGTCGTGGTGGAGGTAACGGTGGTGATGTTGGTGGTAGTGTTCGTATCGACCGGGTCTGGGCTGCTACCAACCCTCGACTTTCTCTCTCTCTCTCTCTCTCTCTCTCTCTCTCTCTCTCTCTCTCCTCCTCTCTCTCTCTCTCTCTCTCTCTCTCTCTCTCTCGTCGTCCTCTTCTTCTCTCTCTCTCTCTCTCTCTCTCTCTCTCTCTCTCTCTCTCCCCCTTCGTTTCGTCGATCCGTTCCTCCGCTCTTCGCCTCTCTCTTCTACGCGTCCGGTGCATTCCTCTCTTCTCCGTCCATTCGTCTCCCTTCTTTTCGCCTCGCGTTCTTTGTGTCTCTCGCGCCTTTTCTCTCCTCAGTTCTCGGCGCAGTCGCCCGTTCTTCCTTCCTGCATCTTCTTCATTGCTTCGGTTCTCATGCTCTTTTTCCGCCTCTCTTTTTTCCCCTCCCTCTTTCTCTCTCGCACCTCGCTTCTCCTTGTTCTCCTCTGTTTCGCGATATTCGCCCGAATATCGAACCGGGTCGTCCGCGTCCGACGCAACGGGTGTCCTCATGGACCTTCCACCCAGACTCGGGTCTGGGTCCTTGAATTCCTAGGACAGAGCCAGCCACCCACCCACCTCCAACGCCGGATGGAATCTCAAAGGTGAAAACTGCGCGCTGTAAAATCCATCCGACCTTTTTATTCCCTTCTCCTTCTATTCTCGCGGTTCTATCTTCTCGCCTTCCATCCCGCCTATCGATCTCCCATCCCGCCGCCGATCGTTTCGACAGGGGCATTCGCGCGAACTGCAATTATCTCGCTGAATCCAGATCGGCGCGGAATGCGGATGGATGACGAAAAAAGCATGTATCAATGTAACTTTGAGATTAATCTGGGATAAAGTTCTCAAAATTGTTCTAGCAGACGTGTAAAAAAAATGTTAGGCGACTTCAATCTAAATTTCAGAATAAAACCACCTCTTTTTTTGCAACGCTATTTGTAATTTTTATTTTTCATCCAAATGAAGAAAATGTGTCGCCCGAAATCTCTCGTGCCCATCAAAAAGTCAGCGTGCGAGCTTTAGAAAATGTATGTATATATTTTGGAATGCGCGAACTTGATAACAGCGAGCATTAGTATCGCGAAGGGATACTCCGCTTTAAGCCGCTGGATCAGTTGCCCTCTGCTAAGCCATCTCATTGTGAAGAGTATCTTGTAGTGGAGTTTGCGCTGCAGCGTGCCGGTCTAATTCGAGTGCTCTCGTGAAGAACTTTGGATATATAGGCACGCGCTTCCGCAAGCGAATTCACGAAGTAAGATCCGCGAGAGTTTGCCCCTTCTATCACCGCTATCGCTCCTAATAAACTTCGCGGAAAGCCTTAGCAGATTGACCCCGGAATTATTCGCCCAACGTTGGCGAGATTTACTCTCCGAATATCCGACGGACTCAATCCGCGCGCTTGATAATCGCGTTTCTTCAAATTTGCATTTTAAACAGCGTGCTCGTGCCAGCTGTAACAACAAAGCGACATTTACCTTCCGAATTTACAGAGGGATGTGAAATGAATTATGCGACGACAACCCTCTTACCGATCGATTCCGCAATCCGAAATAACGCGACACACTTGAGCCACGTAAGAAAAAGAGACGTGTCTCTAGAAAATATCGAGTTCACTCCGAGCGCGGTCTTCTTCTCCATTCTATATATGTATGTACGCGCACAGCTATCCGCGCTGTACCAGCTGTGTGTAGGGTAATTCCGGGCTAGATAACTATAGTTCCTGGCATAGATGACCGCGAAAAGAGACTCGGTAATATTTTCCATGAGTATGGTTACGGCAATAATTTCAATCAACTGCCACGATGTTTTAGTAACTATTCAACCGTATCGGCTATAGCGGCTATTAAAGGAACCGCAAGTGCCGGCCATTTCCCTTCATAGTATAGCTATAAAAGGTAGCCTAGGTTCTTCTCGCATTTCCTTTTATCTACAATCAATTTTAACAGCCAATTTAGTGTCAACTTTTTCTCACTGAAAGTTTAACACGAAAATTAATTCGTGAAAAAATTATTCAACCTTTTCTATTAGTTTGTTTTTGTTATTATAAAACCATGCGTCACGTTATTGATTTGTGAAAAAAATGTCAAGTACGAGAAAGCTCTTGGAGAACTTAAAACAGCCTGTGCGTTTTTTTCATATCTATATTTTCTTTCGCCGTGACTTTTTCATGCATTTTAAGAAGTCTTGATTTATATACTTGAATTCTTATCTTCAAGGGTCTTTCCCGGGTTGAAATAAATCGTAGGGTTTTTTTATACTAATACATCTCAGTATCATCCTACCACAAGTGCGTGGCGTCGCGAGCGAAAGATAATCGCGTAACGGTGCGGTTCGTGATTCCGCGCTGATCGCATCACCGAGGATGCGATCATCGACGGGAAAAGAGAAAGTGCAACCACCGCCTGTCGGTGCAGCCGCTACGCACTGTGCGTGCGACACGTGCATTATGCGCCTCCGTACTGTCGGACACGTGTCACGAGCCATTCGCGGCGTGTGTCGTCCTCGCGGAACGCCGCGGCGAGGAGAGCGGCGGGGCCGGGGGGAGGAAACGGGAGAAATTACGAACGGCGAGCGGACGTGCTCTCACCCGCGGCTCGGATCGACCGTAACCGAGGGAAATGCGATTACGTGTGTTCGGTAGGAGCTTGCGGCTAAACGGACAGGAAGAAAAGACGATGTCGCGATTTGCGATGATCCAGGCAGGCGATGCCAGTAACACACCCGTTACTTTGCAAGATGTTCCGCGAATACTACATCTGATATCGTGTAATAGAGACGCCGCTTAAGTATAATTCAACTCATTCAGTTATATCGAGATTTCACATTATGTTAAAGAATTTCGAAACCACAAGCGCTTGGAAAAATGAGAGAAATAACGCACTGTCGGTGAATGTCGAAATTAAAAGTTTTTAATTAATTGCCGAGAAACTTGATCAATTGCAATTACGGCAAAGTAATTTTGTTCCAACAGTAGCCACCGTGCACGAAGTGTAAAGTGAAAGAGCATGGATTTTCGGCTAACAACACCTGAAAAACAAGCTCATCGTAAAAGCGCGTTTCCTTCACTCGAGTTCAACGCGATCGTGGATCGACAGCGACAAGCAGACAAGACAATCATACACGACACCGAGACAACTTTACCAGTCGCGGCAGAAAGGGAGGGAGGAGAGCAGACGGGAGGTGAAAGGACACGGCGCAGGGGCCTGTCTCGAATTACTATTCCCGTATGTGTTTACCGACGAGCGGAAACGACTTAACGGGTCGTCGTCGGTCGTCGTGAAAACGACGATACGTCCTTCCTCTCTCTCGCTCCGTTTTACTCTCGCCAACTGATTTGTTTGCTCCACTTTATGTCCCAAAAAGCTTCAACAATAATGATATTCCGCGAATTGAATGTGAAAACACTTTTTCTACGACAAAAATTTCGTCACACAATTTTTCAATTTTTAATACAAAATATCTTGACACGTGTTTCTCAAATGAGAAACTTATTATTATAAAAATATTGGAAATTAAAGGATAGATTTTGTATTTCTTTGAGGCTTTATTCGACGGAATCCCTTAATTTTCGGTGTTAAATAATTTTTTAATTAGACGGAACTTTTATCACAGAGCGACCAAAAATATTTTGACATGTCTTGTATGAGTGCATAGGTCTTTCTTCGTGATGCGTGCCTTTGTGTGTGTGTATGTGTGTGTGTGTAACCGGTGTACAACGTGGTCCCGCGAGAGGTACCAAATTTAAATTTCAAATTTGGAGCGTGTCGCAGGGTGTGACGGTATGCATAGCGTTGCCCGCCGGCTCTAACTCACTCCACCGATGGTGCGTCTTCGTTCCATCCCCCGCCGTTCCCTGTCCCCTCGTCATCACCGCCCTATGTGCACGGGCCCCCCTTTTCCCGAGTCCACCCAGTACGTATCCCGCGGTCCCTCTTATTCCTTCCATTTATCTATCTATCTCGATTTTTCATATTATTCAAATATGAGGGAGGAATCTGATCTTATCGATCGGCGAAAAGAAGTCTCCGTTTACGGACAACTCTCCGGACGTTCAAAGTAAAGTGCTGTATAGGGTGTGCTTTTCTCCCTGTACACATGTTTGACCCGAGTCAATTAGAAAAGTTTGTTTTTATTATTTATAAAGCAGGTCGATCGAGCGAGGGGAAAAAATTAAATTTCAAAGTTGAGAAAGTTAAATGTACACGAATCTTTTCAAATTGTTAAAAAAGTATGTCACGAACACTGTCACGAATCTTCAATTGTGGCTCGCGAAAAATGTATCTTACATCAAAGGGTCCGGAAATCTTGCATTAAAGAAATACCGAAATTATATATCTCTTTGACATGCAGTGTTTCACTTCGAACGATCACGT